CCTTGTCCCTAGGTTGGCCAACCCTCATCCCTTCCCCTACCTCCCACACTCCCATGTCCCTCCAGGGCCATTGGTCCCTTTATTTTCTTCTCACATTTTTTTGTCCAGCCTCTCTTATCTAGGTGGACGTGCAGATATATTAATGTGTGAATAAAATTGGGGATGGCTTTGACAGCACAGTGCCAAAGTGTCACATAAGAACATGGCGACGACAGCAGCAGCAACGACAAGCTAACAAACAAAAAAGCCACTGACATACAAAATTTAAAAGAAGAGAAAAAAGGGATAAAACAAAACAAATAGACTGAAGGAAAAAAAAAAAGCCTGTTAGTATTTCAAGGTCTGTTTGTTGACCTTTTGGAGCATTTTCCGATGAGTCTAATAGGGTGCCATGCCCTGGCCCCAGAGTCCATCGTTTGTCTTCCCTCGGGACCTCCTTGCTCTGCTTCCCTGCCGCTCCATTGCACGCCCCCAGTGTTTTGCCTCGGTCAGTGTTTTGCCTCGGGTCAGCTCAGTCACTCCATTGCACGCCCCCAGTGTTTTGCCTCAGTCAGTGTTTTGCCTGGGGTCAGCTCAGTTGCCCATCCCACACTGTGTCTCCGGTGCTGTCCCGTGCAGGTCCATGGGTCAGTGCAGGATGTCGCATCTCACCATGGGGGCAGCTATCTGGTCCTCTCTGTACACTGGGCCCTCCGAGCTGGGCCATCATCCTCTGAGCTGGACTATTGTCCTCTGAGCTTGGTGGGCCCAGTTGTGCTCTGCTCCTTTCCTCTTCCTTCCTTTGCTTCAGCTTCCTTCTGGGTGTGGTGTGGTAGGTCAGTTCCTTTCTCACACCAGACGATCTATTTCCATTTTCTATGGTGCTCCCTTCCATGGTGGGGGTCGGGCTAATTCTGGTTAAGGCTGGCGTATGGTGCAGTCTCTTTGTGGATTCCTCCGCGTGTTACATTGCTCTTCTGGAGTCCCCTGAGGTAAGTACAATCAGCACATCAGGAAGAGAAGAATAAACACCTATCTTGCAATAAATGGATGGAAGCATAGACAGTTGGAGGGAGGGCAGGCCACACCTAGGCAGGTACATGAGAGTCAAAAAAATTTTTTTATAGAATATTCCAAATGAAATTATGACTCAACATTCATTTTAGTTGTTGGAGAAACTTTTAGGAACTATATATTTTTGAAGAGATTATAACATTGTTTCTGAAAGATGGCAGAAGTAATTTATCTACTCTAAATGATGAACTATTAACAAAACAGAAGTTCTCAAAAAAATTGTTTAAAAGCAATTTTAGCTTTACGATAAAAATGTAAAATCACAGTAATAATTTTGTAGTTCTCATCTATCTTAATATTAAATTGAATGAAATGAATAATTTTGGCTAAAATAAGAGATGAACTAATATTTGGGTAAAGTTTCCTGCATAGAGCCTTTAAAACTTCCATAAAATAAATTAGAATAGTAAGTCCCAAAGTGGCCTTTCCAGAAGTGCTGGAAAAATGACACAGTATTACAGACATTTTAAGGATTCATGGTTCCTTAGTTTTCCAACAAACTAAATACAGTATTTATGAGGAGAATCAATACCATCTGATACTTGGGGATGCAGCAAGCTTTTACGGTCTGTTCTTTTACCAACAATAACCTCGGAAAGAAGTACAGTGCTATTTGTTTTTAGTTAGTATTTTGTCATAGTTTTATATTCAGATATTGTTGAGTGTCATTGTGGAAGAGAAATTATAACCATTTAAATCTTCTATTTCTGCTTAGAATGCCTCTCCCAAGCCCCCCACTTGGAGGAAACATGCCTGTTTGGTTTAAATATTCAGACTAATTTCCCCCCAGAATTAGCCCTTCCCGACTCCCTCCCTGTGCTGAAGCCTCCTGCTTCTACCAGGCTTTGCTGTCTGCCCTGGATGACTAATCGTCATGGCACCTGGTGCACTCAGGCAGGCCTGTGCAGCAGAATCGTCATACCTAGTTATGGCTGCACACCTGATGTTTTATTAACCAGTATTGATTTTTTACCCGGGGGACTTTTTTCTTCCTGAAAAAAGGCAACCTTGCAGGAGTGAAAGACATTGCAGGGGATGAATTTCTAATGAACCCCTTCTTTCCCTTTTTTTTTGCGACTCTTCTTTAATGTGGCTACATATTTTAAGGACCTGCACTGAAATTTCATTTTAAGCAATTCCATTTTGGTAAATCCTTTTAAATCTTGGCTTTCTGTAAGGTTATTTTTTAAAGATTGTGCTGCTTGACTGAAACGCTTAGCAGTGTCTGTAAATTCGAGCATTTCATTAGAGGTTGCAATGAAGCATGCTCATATGCAGTGAAGTACAGAGAATTTGGGACTGTTTGAGTAATGTTCCAACTTCAAATTTCAAAAAAAAGAAAAGAAAGAAAAAGACGAAAACTCTCATGTGACATTGCAGGCAGTCCTAAAGTTTCTTCTGGGGATTGGGTTAGGGTCAATGCAGAGAATTAAAGAAACAATGGGAGTTATGAACCGATTGCATAGCATGGAATGGATATATAGCTCAGCAGTTATTTTGTGACAGGAGATAAAGTATTTTTGCATTAGCATGAGGGGACTTCGAAAAGAAAATGAAATTGCTGAGAATGGAATTTTGTCTGAGGACCTTTTTCATGCCCTTCTTGTATGTAAACATTTGTACACAACCATCTACATTAAATACATCTCAAGTTTATCTTTTCTCATTATGCCTTGGGTTTCCCATCCCATAAAATAATGTTGTTGTCAGTGTGCATCATTGTATTAACGACCACACCGATTCATATATTTGCCATAAGTTAGGGGGGATTTCTTAATCATTCCCTTCTGTCTTGGAGTTCAGCTGTAGGTTGGTGGGGCTTTCCCAGCTGCCTTTTGAATTTACTGCCTGAGTCCATATGGCATTGCATCAGACTACATCCTCACCATTAGCTGTCAGTGGATGAGGGGCCTCATGAGTCATTTTGACAGCCAGCTTACACTATCACGATGAAATAGACTACTGGCCCTGTTCTCTTATTCCAATGAAGGAGGAAACAAGTCTTCTCCAAGGAATGGGCATCTTCTGAGCTGGTACTAACCATTCACACAATCGGCATCTCAACTTTGAAACTGGTTTTATTATTAATTATTATTAATGCTATCCTCATTTTCTGGTTCCTCTGTGTTTCTTACAGTTTTTGGCACTGGGTACACATTACGGCAAAGTTTACTTACTTGATGTCCAGGGGAACATCACTCAGAAGTTTGATGTGGTAAGTATCCAATTTGAAATAAAGTATGAGCTAGAGTTTAGGGTAAAAATTGGTGCTTTTGTGTATTTGTTTTATCAATGTGTTTTAGTAACATAAAGAAAGGGTCTTTATCAATTAAATCGAGGTGCCTAAAAGTAGAGAAGGATCCTTGTTTGGGCAGTGGGTTAAGTATTGTGCTGCTCACTGATAGGTTAGTGGTTCAAATCCACCAGCCTCTGTAGGAGAAAGATGAGGCTAAGCAGCAGTTCATCTTTGTCCTATGAGGTTTCTCTAAGTCAGAACGCAACAGAGTCAATGGAAGTGGGTTCAGCATCAAAAGATGCAGTGGTTAAGTCTTTGGCTTTAATTGAAGGTTAGCAATTTGAACACACCAACTACTCTGTGGGTGAAAGTTGGTCATCTGCTCCTGTACAGGTTTTAGCTTTGGGAGAGAAGAGCTGGAGGATGATGTGAGTGGATAATCCCATTTGCTTCTCCAGCCACATGCCCACCACACAGTGTGTAAGATCAAGCACAGATAGACACTGCAGAACTCCACTTGGCTCCGGAGGTGTTGAATGAGCCCAGAACCTGGGATGGCATAGAACGTGGGAGAACCTATCTGCCAACATTATGAGAACTTGTTCAACACAGAAATATAGGAACAGGGCTGGGAAACACCTCAAACAAGGACCAAAGTAAATGAAGCTGCAGCTTGATTTTTTTTTTTTAAGTGAAAATGGGCCATTTTAATTAAGGGTCTATGTATTTGAGAGATGGGGAAAGGAGTCCGTGGTGCTGAAAGAAAGTGTTGTTGAGTTGTGCTGAGGCCTAGTACGGATAAAGACTAGGACAGGGAGGAACTGCAGTGGCAGCAGAGCCAGGGATTGCTTTGGATAGAGAGCCACAGCGAGAAAAATGGCTGTCTCCCTGCCCACAGCAGGATGTTTTGAGAAAGCCTGTGAAGGAAAACCATAGATGGCTCTCACCTTCACTAGAGGGAAGGCGAGCCCACTGTTTATATCAGAGACTAGCTAAAATCCCCCCATTTGCTCATTCATATTGTATTCCAGAGTTCAAGCATCCAGAATTCTAGAAAAACAAAGCCAAGGATGAGTGCCCTCCAGTGGTTCACTACTATTGTTTGATTTGGACTCACAGAGGCCCTGCTGGGCGGACCAGAGCTGCGGGATCTGCCCTGTGGGGTCTGGGACTGTGAGTGCTTGCAGAGCAGGCTGCCGCATCATTCTTCCAGGGAGCAGCTGGGAGTGCACCCTGGCCGTCATGATTGGCAGCCAGGCACTTAGACCGTGAGCTACCAAGATGTCCCATCCGAAAAATTTCCCGCAAAAACCAGCATATAAAATTTAAAGTTTAAAAAAGGTAACACAATGGCTCACATTTCACAAAAAATAGTAAAACACACACTACCACAAGGAGAAGGATCAATTAAAAGGACAACTTGAAGAAGAGGAAATTTCTTTTGTGGTAACCAGTTTAATGCAAATAACTGATAATTTTCTGACTATGGTGCTCAATATATTTTAAAAAAGCAAAAACATACATAAAACAAATTACTATGTTTCAGGGAACAAAGGAAGAACAAAATGCCAAACTCACTGCCCTGCAAGTTAATTGGGAAAAAATGTGAATACAGCAAGCCTGAGGCATCCATTTGCTTTCTACAAGAAACAAACTTTAGACATAAGCAGACTGAAAATAAGAAGGTGGAAAGCAATGTTCCCTGAAACTAGTAAACAAAAAAGAGCAGGGGTAGTCATAGTGATATCAGATAAAGTCGTTGTAAGTTAACACTATCAAGAGGTAAAGAAGACAATTCAGCAAGAAGACCGTACAGTTATAAATATAAGCTTGTACCTAATAACAATGAACCAAAATACATGGTACTAATCCTTACTAATGTGGAAAGAGAAATAGACAGTTCCAGAGTAGTAGTAGGGGCCTCTCACACACCACTTTGACTATGAAAAGGTTATCTAAACATAAATCAAACTATAAGCCTGCTGAATCTAATGGACAAATGTAGAATACTCCTCACCAAATACATCTGACTAAATACACATTCTTCTCTAGTATACGTGAATAATTCTTCTCTAGTATACATGACTAATCTTCCAAAATACACTGTATGCTAGGACACAAAACAAGCCTCAACAAATTAAAAAAGATGGAAGTCACATAGACCTTCCTCTCTGACAATAACAGTATGAAAGTAGAAGTCAATAACAAGAAAACTAACGAATACACTACTAGATACACTACTGGGTCATAGTATGAATCAAAAGTGAAATAAAATATGAAATCCAGAGTGAGTAGTATATCCATAGAGACAGTAACTGGGTTAATAGTTTTTTAGGGTTATGGCAGGGAACGTTGGAGAATAATGGGGAACTAGTAATCATGGATATAAGGATAGATAAAATGTTGTAAAATTTATTGTGGTAATAATTGTACAACTCCTTTTAATATATTTAAACCATAGAATGGTATGGTATGTGAGTTATATGCCAATGCAATTTTAAAAATGAAGTAAAAAGGTTCCTAGAGTCAAACAGAAATGAGAACACAACATATCAAAACTTTTGGGATGTAGCAAAAGCAGTACTCAGAGGGCAATTGATAGCAATAAAGGCAAACATTTAAAATGAAGGTTTAACTTAAACTTAAACTCAGAACTTGAACAAATAGAGAAGGAAGAGCAAAAGAAGTCCCCCTCAGAAAGAAAAAAAAAGGCAGATATGAAAGTCAAGGCAGATATTAAAAAACCAGGAAGAATTGACCAAAGAATTGAGTCAGAAGTAGACCCTGAACTGACCCTTCAAATTGATGAAGCACTGGCTAGATAGACAAGACATTCTAACCATGAGAATTACATGACAAATTAAGAACCAAAACTGATGACCTTATAGCCAATTCAACAGATAAAGATCATAACTGATTACTATAAAAAATAGTACTCTTAATAAATTTGAAATTTTAGGTGAAATGGACACCTATCTAGAAACACATTAACTATCCCAATTGACACAGAGATAGAACATTTTAACAGACTCCTTACAGAAAAAGAGATTGAAGATGTCATTTACTAAACAGCTAATAAATAATAAAAAAACTCAGGACAAGATGGCTATACCGTGGAATTTTACCAAATATCCAGAGACTTGACACTAACTGTAATCCCTGTCTTCAAAAATGAACTAGATTGAAGAACATGTCAAACTTTTAAAAATTAAATTACCATGACCCTGATACCAATTAGGCAGACATACAAAAATAATTAGAGACAATAGTCTTTATTAGCATAGATCCCAAAATTCCAACAAAATGCTGGCCAAGAGACATCATCAACATCAAAAACCATCTACATAATCAAGTAGGGTTAACACCAGGATTGTAAGAGTGGTTTATCATTAAAAAACCAATTAATATAATCCACCACATAAGTAAAATAAAGTAAAAGAACCATATGATTACATCAATTGAGGGCCAGCAGTCAACATTATATCTAATGGAGAAAGCCATCCCTTTGAGAACAGGAGTGAGGCAAAAATAATTATTTTTACCACCCATATTCAACATTGTACTGGACACCCTAGCCAGAGCCATAAGTCAAAGTGAAATAAACAATATCCATATTGGTAAGGAAGACGTAAAACTATCTATTTGCAAATAGCAATACCCTGTTGCATAGAAGACCCAAAAGATCCCACAAAAATATTGCTGGAAGTAGAAGAATTTAGCAACATTGTAAGGTCCAAGATCAACACTCAAAAACTACTTGGTTCCTCTACACTTGCAAAAGCTGCAACGAAAAAGAAATCAAGAAAACAGTACAATTTACAATAGCTCCAAACCAATAACGTATCTAGCCACTAACCAAACCGGGTACATAAAAGACATATGCAATGAAAATTACACAACATTATTACTACAAAATGAGATCTGCAAAAATGGAAGACACCAAATGCTTTTGGATTGGAAAATGTATTATAGTGAAAATGTCAGTTCTACCTAAAGTGATCTACAGAAAACCCAACACAAATCCCCAAAACATTATTTACTGAAGTGGAAAAACTAATTACAATTCATATGGAAAGGAAAGAAACCCCGAATACTCAAAGCAATTTTGAAGACCAAAGATAAAGCAGGAGTCCTTACTTCCTGATATGAAAACACCCTGCTTCCACTGTAATCAAAACACCTCAGTTCAGCAATAGACATATAGATCACTGGAATATAATTTAGAACTCACAATTAAACCCGGCCATGTGTGGACAATTGACTTTTGACCAGGGATTAAAGTCCATTTAGTGGGAGAGAAACAGTCTCAATAAATGGTTCTGGCAAAACTGGATGTCCACTTGCAGGTAAATTACCCATATCTCACAAATACCCCCAAACTAATGTACAGTAGGTTAAATACCTAATTATTAAAATTAAAACCACAAAATTCTTGAAAGAAAACAGCAGGGGAAAATATGAGACTTAATCTTTTATAAAAATCAGGATAACAAACATTACAAATGCATGAGTAGAAGACAACTTAAGAGAGATGGGACCTCATTCAAATGAAAAGCTTGCTTACCAAAAGACTTTATTATTTAAGATAAATAAACAACCAAACAAGTGCTGTACACTCATGCTTGACCACCTCTGGCTACATGGTAGAGGAAGATGATTCTTTTGAGGCTGAGGTTAAACATGCCTCCACACTCCCGCTTCCTTTCCTGTGTACTAACACCAACAATCTCACGGACAGAACTCTACTGGGTTCTGGAATCTATATCAGTGGCCACACAGAACTCACAGATGATACTCACAATTGTATTTTTTCCCCATGAAGTTAGTAAGTTATCACAAGTCAGAAAACATTACGGGCACAGTCCTTTTGTCCACGGCAGCACTGCTTCTGTGTCATGCCAGCAGGCGTGTTTCTTTCTGGTCCTCCATCTCTCTCTGGTGCTCAGCCTCTCAGCCATGTGGCCCCTTGGCCCCTGCCC